CATGCAATTCTAGCACCCTGCTGTGCTGCCACTCCTGCCCCAGATTCATCTACTTTTTGCACGTGGTAGCAATATGGGAAAATTCAGAACATAAGAAATTTTCCCTTTAGGTAGTTAATGTGACAATTAGTGACACGTGGATACTGTAGAAAACAAAAAATTCCCTTTCAGATAGCCTCGTGGCTAATATGTGTACATATTAGGGACTGGGCTGTAACGACAGCAAAAGGGGTAGGACATTTGCCTTGCACACGGCCAACCCGGGTTCGGTTCCTCCATGCCTCTTGGAGAGCCTGGCAAGCTACTGAGAGTATCCCTCCCACATGGCAGAGCCTGGCAAGCTCCCCTTGGCATATTCGATATGCCAACAACAGTAACAACAAGTCTCACAATGGAGATGTTACTGGTACCCGCTCGAGCAAATTGATGAACAGCGGGAGGACAGTGCTACTCGAGACCTACTGAGTCAGAGAGCATTGGCAGCCAGGGGGAAGAGTTCCAGCAAGTTCTGCAGGTACTCCGGTCTAGCTGATGCCCTTGGTGGCCTAGGTCCTAAGCCAAGGCTGGCATAGAGGGGAAGGGAGCTCTTGGTGGGAGGAATGAATCTGGCCCCTCACTCCCGCCCTTGACAGGGAGCACTGTGTCGGGAAGGCAGATGCCTTTGAGCTCTGGACTGCAGGCCCACCCGCTGAGGGTTTCCTCTCCCTCTGTCTGCTGTGACCTCCGGGGCAGGAGAGGAAATTTCCAGCTGCCACTTGATGCTAAATTCTGCTTATTTGACCCTTGGGTTCCTGCAAACAGAGCCCTGGGAGAGGCTGATAAGCCAGCCTGCCTAGTATACCGGCCCCCTCGGGAGCAGAGGGCTCCTCAAGAACAGAGGCAGACGGATGGCACTTGTGCCCGGGTGGCTGGGAGGGGCAGGGCTTTGCCTTCAGAGCTGGGTGCCCGTTTCCATGCCAAGTCTGGCTTTGGGCCCACGAGGCTCCCAGTCCCAGAGACTTTCTGGGACTCTCGACCTGGCTATTTTTGCACTCTGACATGCAAACTCTGTTTCTGTTCCCTCAGGAGGGGTCATGCCACCATGGCAACAGGCTCTAAAGCCACGTGGGAAGGGCACCTGTGACTCTGTGGCCCTGAAACCGGCCTCTCCCCTGGTGTGCCCTGACACCACCCCGGCTGACCCCCTGGCAGAGGGCTGTGGGTCTGGCTGTAGAGTCACCTCCGTGTCACAGGGCCAACAGGCAGACCAGGAAACATCTGCAGCTCCTTCATGCCCCTCATGACTGACCCCATTTCAGGCCTCTGGAGGCACTTCTGGTGGCTCTGCCACGAAACACACAGCTTCGATAAGAGCAACTTCTTGATGCATAGATATATCGTATGGCAGACTCACGTTTCGTTTTGAACAAAAATGAGAACAAGACTGAGGCCTGTTTTCAAGGGGCATCTGGCATACAGGAGCTAGTTGTCCAGCAGAGAGTGGTGTGTGCTGGGGCTGAGGGGTGTGGAGGCACGGGGGTGACCGCCGACCTCTGAAGACTTTGCTGAAATATGTGTGTGGTTCTGTAAAGGTAAACAAAGCCATTCCTATGACGATTGAACAAGGCCTGGGGGTGCTGGGGTATCTGACTCAGAAGGTCCATTTTTTACTTTCCCTTGTTGAAAGCGAGAGAGAGAGAGAGAGAGAGAGAGAGAGAGAGAGAGAGAAGAGAGAAAAAGAAGGAAGGAAGGAAGGAAGGAAGGAAGGAAGGAAGGAGAGAAAGAGAGAAAGAGAGAAAGAGAGAAAGAATGAATCTGTCTCTTGGCTCCCAACCCAGAACCCTTTCCAGTTTATCACATTGTTTCTTTTTTATCCATGAGAACATTCACATGTACATCCAGGGATGTAGACTTTTTTCCCTAAGTAGAAGCTAGCATTTATTTCCCAGGGATCATGAAGTGGCTGTTTGTGAAATTGCAGATATCTTCAGCGGTCCTCTCTCTTACCAGGTATCAAGTCCCATCACTGAAGAACCTTATCATTTGTTTTTCCCCATCTCTGTTCTTCACTCTTCTTTCCTTTCTTCTTACTTCTTCTTTCTTCTTATTTATTCGTCTACCAGGCCATTCTTCATCATCCATCCATTGACCACCATCCATTGACCATCTTTCCCTCCGTCCATCCACCCATCATTTGTCATCTCCCGGTTGGCCAGCCATCTACCCACCATCTCTCCCCTTCCTCCCAGCTCTCTGTGTCTGAACATTAGCCTTGCGACGTGTTGGCATATGGTGGTGGCCAAGGCAGGCATGTATCTGCTCGCAAGCGTATGGACAATATACCTTACAGCCAGTGAGGGAAGGTGTGGAAAGATTCTGTAAATGATTCTGGCACAGTGACTATTATAGTTGATGTTATAGTCACCATTATTTTTGCAGGGGGATTGGTGATTTTAGGGCCACACCCAGCAATGCTCAGAGATTACTCCTGACTCTGTGCTCCGGACTTACTCCTGACAGTGCTCTGGGAGCCATATGGGATCTAACCCAGGTTGGCTTCATGCAGGGCAAATGCCCCACCTGCGGTGCTACCTGCTCAGACCCCTGATGTGTGCACCTTTCTCCTCTTTCTCCTTTATCATCATCATCGTAATCAAATTTTTGGCAACTGGATATTCACAATTTTTACAACCACAACATCTCAGCAGAAATTCCAAATTTAAACCAAGCCCGTGGAGGCCTGGTTGAAGACAGTGCCCAGTTCTTGCTCTGCAGCTCCAGCCTTCTCCTTGGTGACCCTCAAGGTACCTCTTCAGCGAGCCAGACCTGAAGATCCCTGACCTGGGGCTTTGTCCTGGGGTGCCAGGATTTCATATTCTGATCGTGGAATTCAGTTCTCATATATGCTAATACCCCAGCTGTAGGGACCGCTGGAATGAGTGTGTCAATCCAGGCCCGCCAGCATGGGAGTTAGCCTCTGGGAGTCCTTTTTACTTCCTACACCAGAGCCCATGGCTGGGGCTGCCAACAAGGGCCGGGAACCCTTTTCCCCTGCCCTGTAGGGCTTCCCAGCTCAACCCTGAGCTTGTATATTTAACCATACCTGTGTTTTTTGTTTCCTGTGTCCCATTTTTGAGACACTGGAAACAAAAATATTAACAAAACAGCCTTAAAAATAGGGTAAAGGCATGTGGAGACATACTTGTTGACAGTTATTTCTGCAAAATGTGGGTAACTTGAAATTATTTACTCGGACTTAATTTCCCCGGGGTGAGGGTGGGGGTGGGGGCTGGTGTCACGTCATAATTGGGGAGCAGTGGCGGGGTCGCCTCCGGCAGACTGGAATAAGAAGCAGAGCCCGGGATGCCCCTAGCGCAGTCACACAGCTGGGCCCTCTTAATCAGCCCCTTTGTTTGTTCCATTTCTTTTTTTTTTTTTCTGCAGTGGCTATAACAGCTGCTGTGATGCCTGGCCACAAGAACCAGTGGACTTTGCATACAGCAGGGCTCACGTGCTTTCTTATCTTTTTTGTATATGAGGGTTGCTACAAAGCCGGCCAGCCACTTGTAGAAATGGCCACTTAGAAAAGGCTTGAATTCTTTGGATGAAAAAGGATCGCCAATTTAAGAATGTGCCAATCCAGACGCCACCCACTCTGGCTTCTCCTGAGTCCCTCCAGTATGCCTCCCATGTCTATGAATTCACTTCTCTGTATTCTCTTTTTTTCTCTAGTGCTTTAATCCAGCTCATATGCAAGTCAGATTAGGTCAAGGATGACTTTATGTAAATCAGATAGTCCATCAGTAAACTGATAAAATATTGCTGTGGGCCAGGGATGTCTGAAGTTGGCCAGTGTTTCATTGGCCAATCCTCCCACTCCTCAAAATTGTTTGAAGCATTGCTGGTTTTTTTTTTTAATTTGAATGACTTTGAACTTTGTACATGTTTGCCAGTTGGCCACAGACCCCACTATTCTCTATTGTCCTTTCAAGCCTACCTTCCTTCAAGTATTTACATTAGCAGCTAGCTTTTCAAACCAGTCTGGTTCCTTCTTGAATTTCAAATCTGTTTGGCTCTACCTTCCTTGGGCATCTCCTATATGCAGGTTAGAATTCTAAAATATTACTGGCTGTTCTCAACTTCGTTGTTGCTAGCATTCTAGTGAATGGTGTTGTTAAAGCATATGAAATATACAGTACAGTACTTGTTTATAAAACAAACAAGGCTTGTACTCCTTGTTGGGAATGCTTTAAAATAGTAACCAGTAACTCTTAATGTCTATACTAAGAGATTCAGCAGATTTTGCATGAACTTGCCCATGGTTTCTGATTTGATTTGTTGTATTTAGTGTTAGGCTATCACCAGAAGTGCTCAGGGCTTACTCTTGGTAGTGCTCAGAGGTCAGTCCTGGTGGTGGTCGTGGAGCCATATGTAGTACACATGGAGATTGAACTAGGATTGGCCCTTGCAAGGCAAACACCTCCCTTTGTATTACCTCTCTCTGCCCCACAGACCTTACAGGTTTTATATGGGTTGTTGATTCTGGCTAATGGCACTCTAGGGTTCTTGGAGCTCTAAAGTGACTTTTATAATGACCACTCAGATGTCCATACTTTTTTATGCCCATATTGTCAAGTTTCAGCCTTCGTTTCTTTTTTTTTTTTCCTTTTTTTGTCACACCTGGCGATGCACAGGGGTTACTCCTGGCTCTTCACTCAGGAATTACTCCTGGTGGTGCTCAGGGGACCATACAGGATGCTGGGAATTGAACCCGGGTTGGTCGCATGCAAGGAAAACTCCCTACCCACTGTGCTATCGCTCCAGCCCCTCAGCCTTCATTTCTAGCTTGGTTAGCCCCATGCTTTGTCTGACAAGAGACTTTATTCATATCTGTAAGTTGGCCATAGTGCTTATCATGTGAACACAGACACATCCACATACAGGATTCCCCTGACTATTGGTACTCAGCCTAAAAGATGATCGTTGTTTTAACAAGACCTTCTTGTGTTTCTATTCCCCAGCAGATATATGGACTGATCACTCTTTTCAGACAGACCCAGATTTGCCACCTGGCTGGAAAAGAATCAATGATATCGCCGGGACCTATTATTGGCACATACCAACGGGAACCACCCAGTGGGAGCGCCCCGTCTGCGTCCCCGAGGAGCCGCAGGCCCCTCGGAAGGGGTCACTCGGCTCAGCCACACCATCTCCTACCCCAGAGAATGAGGTAAAATGGAACGTCTCTTTCCTGCTCAGTACAGGGGACCCGTTTGTGATGTCTCTTTATGCTCATTCCTTCTGCCCTTACAGGTCCTCAGGTAAGTGTCTCAGGGGTCATGTGTGTTGTGTTGGGACCGTCTATAAAGTATTCCTCCTAGTCAAGAGCATCAGCATCATCTTCAGGGATGGTGTTGGTGTCTTGTTTGGGCCTCATGGCTCTGGCTCTCATGGAATGCCATTCCAGGTACGGGAAGGAACAAGACTGATTAACAAGAGGCAGTTAATGTTCCCTGCTACTCCCCGAGGTGGTGCTTTTCTCTGTAGGTGCCAATGCTGGTGCCAGCTCCATAAAATATTTACAGTGGCAGGAACTCTGGGCCAGGCGTGTCAAGAAGGCTGCATGTCTAATTAGCTCTGGGCTCAGCGACGCCATGGAGGGCCAGGCTGTGAGCGTAACCTCTGAGAACCCTTACATGCTTAATTTCTGTTTTTTTTTAATAAGGCATCTGTTTATTTAGCAGAAGTGGCAATGTTTTAGGGGGAAAAATAGCTGCATAAATTTCTGTTATTCCTGTGGGGGAGAAAAATCTAGATGTTTAAACAAAGAATTGAGGCATTAAAGAAATAACATCATGGCATTTATTAATACAGAGATTTCTGCCTTGAATCTTTGTGAATCCTTACAATAAAATATTCAAGAGCATCCACTCTGGGGAAAGGTCACAGTTAAAGAATGCCTTGTTTTTAATTTTTTTTTCCTTTTGAGAAAAGTGGTTTAATCCTTAACACCTAGGCATTTCTGCCCTTTTCTGACCATATTTCTTTTAGTCTTTGAATCACACCTTTTTTTCCTTTACTTTGGGGGGTAAGGAGAACCTTTGAACTCCATCTCTCACCTGCAAAACTTCTCTCTTCCTGTCCTTAAAAGTATACAATAGGGCCAGAGAGTTAGGAAGGCATTTGCTTTGCATGCAGCCAACCTGGCCTCAATCCCTGAGCACTGCTCAGAGTGATCCCTGAGCACGGGACCAGGAGTAAGCCCTGAGCATAGCTGGGTATGACCCAACACCACACACACACACACACACACACACACACACACACACACACACACACACTCAAAAAAAAAGTTGACAGTATCTGGGACCAGAGAGAGCTCAAAACCTAGGAGCCCCTTAGCAATACAGGCTGAAAATTGAAAAGTTAAAAAAGTAGACAATATCTTATTTTTTCCCCATCTTCAGTTTTTTTGCTTTCCTTGGTGAGATAGTAAGAGCTATATTTCCACCTGCTTCCTCCTTTTACTGAACTTCAGTATAAATGAAGTCCCTCTCCTGGACTTCCAGTTGTCCATCTTGCAAGGAATGCAGGGCTGATGCAGGCTGTGAGCTCACGAGCGGTCACGGGGCTTCTGTCTGCTAGCATTCTGCCTTGATAAGCAAGCCCACGCTCAGGATGAACCATCTAGGATGTTATTGCTCATGCCTAGGACTTGTTAGAGCTTTTCTTTTTTATTGAGGTACAACATTCCTGCTCCCTGGGCAATTTCCATTCATTTATTCACATAGTGTTGGGGGGGTACCTGGAGGGAAACAAAGAAGCCAACACAGTTCTGGGCCTCAAGCTTGAAGGGACCAGAAGAGAGTGCAGCCAGTAAAGCTCTTGCCTTGTACACAATCCATGTTTGACTGCTCCCCTCATCTCTACATATGGTCCCCTAAGCACTGCCAGGAGTGACCCTTGAGTATGGAGTCAGGAATAAGTCCCGAGCATCTCCAGGTATGTCTCCCAAACCCCCCAAATTAAAAACTTTAAAGACAATAAAAATAAAATCACAGAGACCAAGGATTGGTTTAATCATTGTTTGAGAGGTCCAGCGCCAGATAACCAGAATCATAACCAGAATGTGCAGATGCTGAGAACTCTGCTAAAACAGAGGCATAGAGTAGAGTGCAGTGGGACACAGTTCAGGCTCAGAGCTTACTTCACTCTTTTTTCTCATACCTGATGTCCCAGGTTCGAGAGTTGTCATTCTCCTTTGTCATGTGACAGCAGTGAGACACAGAAATGGGGGTGGGGGAAACTTTCCCGAGTTCTTACGCCTTGGACTTGGTGGAGAGAAGCCTGAGTTAAAGTCTGACATGCCTCGCTCTTTTTTTTTTCTTTTTGGGTCACACTCGGCAGGGTTACTCCTTGCTCTGCACTCAGGAATTACTCCTGGCAGTGCTCGGGGGACCATATGGAATGCCGGTGATTGAACCCGAGTCAGCCGCTTACAAGACAAATGCCCTACCTGCTGTACTATCGCTTCAGCCCTGACATGCCTCACTCTTACACCAAGCCTTCACAATCCCATTGAACAGGGGACTTGGAGAGCCTTGAATGTCTTCCTCTCACCCCAAAGGAGAGCTGTATGATAGGCAGAACCATCTAGAAAACAATTTCTCTTGATAACCTTGTCTCGAGTGCTAATGACAATTGAGGAGAATGATGAGTTCTCTGACACCGTTTCTTTGATCCCTAAATAGAATCAATTTCAACTAATTTGGAAACATGAGAGAAGGCAAACCGTGAAGGGCGAGAAGAAACTTGTAATATGTCGTGTTAGAAATGCATATCTTATTGAGCTTTTTTTTTTTCTGAGCTAGCTTTAAAAAGAAAAAAAAAAATCAAATAAATAAGTGCCAAATCTGTTGACTCAGCGTCCCTAGCATTCAGGACTGAAAGCTTCCTTACAGTTTGACGATTTTCTATTTCACATTCCAAAGTTCAGTGCAGAAGTGTTAAGCTCAGCGGATAATATTTTCTCTCCACATGCCAACAGCATTTTCGAAAGTTTATAAACTGGCCAGGGAAGCATTTGCTGCTGGAATTTGGCCCACGGCAGTCCCTCCCCATTCATTGATTTGTTCCAAATTACTGTGATGTTGAGTTTCTGAGAGACAAGGGAGCCACAGAGAGTATTTTTTTAATGGTTGACCAGTAAAGCAAGTCTGAACTTACCCTCTTTCTGATTGGAGGGGTTTCAGGATTCCTTAGGAGACAAGGGGAGAGGGCCAAAGAAATGGTACAGGGGTTAAGGCACTCGCCTTGAGTGCTGTCTGACCCTAGTTCCATCTCTGTGGCAAAAAGAGGGTATGGCAGAGAAAGAGGGTAACTAGGCAAGGGGCAGTGGGGTTGTTTCTTGGACAGTCATTTCTTCTGGGTCCTAATTCTGAATTCTGCCACATCACTTACTGTGTCTGGGGAGCCCTGAGCCTCCCACTCCCTCCAAGGAGAATATTCCTTATATTTGGTTAAAACCAGTAGATTTTCCACTGAACTTTAAAAAACAACCTAAAAGGGCTATTCTTTCATCATTTTACTGAACACCTTGATTAGATGAACATTTGGAACCATCCAGAAGGTTCTTGCTAGCTTTTAAACGCAAGGGTTGTATTTCTCAGCCCTTGAGAGGCTGTGAGCAGAATGGCCTGCATGCTTGAATATTCGGATGCCTTATTCCCTGAGCTGGACTCTCGGAGGCCTGGGAATCTTTCTTTTCCAGAAGCATCAAGGTGCTTCAGTGCTAAGAAAAAGAGTCTGTTCTCAGCGAGTTGGGGGGCCCTGTTCTTACCTTCTTCTTACCACACTTATGACTCTTCTTCAGTTCTTTGGCTACACCCTAACACCTCCTGGGAGTTTCTGCTCTCACTTCCTCTCAAATGCCCTTGATTCTGGACCGTTCCTGTGTAGTAGACCACTTGCATGGGTCAGGAGGGGGCTGCTCTCCTCTCTCAACCTAGGAGGTATAGGGGACCTTGTTCTAGTCAGAACAGAAAAGGTCCGTTCGTGTTTTTACTTACTTGAGTTTTTCGTGAAAGGACTTCTTTTCGGAGTGCCCATGTTATTTTAAATGTTTTTTCAGAATCACTGTATAGAGTCTTTGTTTAAGTCAGTTTGGAAAAGGGGATCTCTGGAAGTTTTCCAGTAGACTCACATGGCCACGGCATGAACATTTGAGTCATAGTCTTAGAGTTGTAGGTAGCTTTTATAGGGATTATTTATGCACAGAAGAAATACATTAATTTTTTTTTTTAAACTCGAACACACAGTTCCAAAACTTCTCGTGAAATTCCAAGGAGTCATTTGAATCCCTATTTTAGGTAGTGGGCTGTTGTGGGAAGCATACCTGGAGGTGTGTGTGGCGGGGGGTCGGGGAGTGCTACTCCTTATTCTGTGCTCAGGAGTGACCCCTGGAAGTGCTCCAGAGTCTGGGGATTTAAACCAGGGTCAGCAGATGTGAAGGAAGAGCATTCCCCACTGCACTCTCTCTCTCTCTCCCCCTAATTCGCCATCTGTTTCTTCCTACAAATCTCAGTTTAAATGAAAAACAAATATTGTCCGTTCCCTTCCACACACATACGTCCCATACGGGGGAGGATGATGCGGGACCACACAAGCATTGTGGCTTCTCTTTACAAAGGAGGTTCCTATGGTTTGTTTTGTTTTGTTTGGGTGCCATACCTGGAGGCTCTCAGGTCTTCCTCCTGGCAAACTCAGGGGCCTGTGTATGGAATGATGGAGTTTGAATTGGGTTGGCTCTGTGCAAGGCCTTCCCTGCTGTCCTATCCCTCTGGTCCCTTATTAAGGAGGTTCTAATTTCAGCATGTGCCGTGTCCTTCCTCCTTCCCGCCCTGACTGTGAATTGTCACATCATCCCCGTGATGCAGTGTCTGACCCTTCCTGGTCTGGCTCCTATGAACACAGAGATCTTTCTCCCCCAGAAGAGCCACATGCATATAACCTCATCGTCTTTGGGGGTGCACAGCTCCCCCATGATGATTACTCTCCCCTATTCTCATAAAAACCAGGTGACTGCTGTGGAGAGTGAAGAGGGAAGGGACTGGGGGCTTCACAGCTTCCCTGCGACTCTGTGAGATGGTTTAGACATGAAGGGGACTCATTTCTCTCTTAGTTTGGAAAGCTACAGTTCCAGTGCCCATTCCATCAAAGCTGGCCCTGCCATCTCCTCTCCCTACAGCAGTGACCCTAACCTCACTCTGTGCTGACTTTGCCCTCTCAGAGCTGTGCAGTAAAATTTGGGGGACGGGGGATGGGGGAAGGGGCTGGGACCGGCCCACAACCAGCACCGCTCAGGGATCACTCCTAGAGGTGCTCAGGGCACCGTAGGGGATGCCAGGGATCAAACCCAGATCAGCCACACTCAAGGCAAACACCCTACCCGCTGTTCTATCACTCCGGCCCCTTCTACTGGTTGTTGAAACTGAGCAAAAAGTCCAGATCTTTTAATGGTCCCTTCTCACTGCCAAAGACCTTTCATTGAAAGTTCACTTTCACGGTTTCTGAGTAGAGAGCTTGATAGCGCATTGGACCCTTGTTCCCGGATAACCTGGGGTTCTGGCCACGTGATTACCCCCACAAAAATGTTGGACTCTTCCCGAAGTCATCGTGGAGGGGACGAAGCAGCTGCTCACTGTCCTGGTGAATGAATGGGATGTGGGAGAGGGAGAGCTGTCTTCATTGCAGAGTCCACTGCTCGTGCCCGCCCTCCGGGCCCAGCTTTGTGCTGCCCACGATGTGGGGGAACCGTATGGTGACCAGGTTTGAAGTCACGAACATGCTATCCTGCAAGCAGGTAGAGTTAGAGCAGTTTCCCAAAGTGGGCGAACCTGACCCCAGGTATCTGCAAGGCTGGGGAGCCCACATGAACAGTGGGGCACAGTTGGCAGCTACAGGGGCAATTGGAAGGCACTTCCTGTTTGCTTACTGAACACTCTGGTGCTGCTCTTTGTGGTAGGTCACATTCAAGTGTAAGCCACCAGAGGTACATGCCAGGTCAACCAACGTGTTAAAGAAGATAGATTTCTGAGGGGGGGGGCGGGGGGATCAGGTTCGGGGGGAATGGTGAAAAGTAACCAAAGATAGGTCAAATAAATTGGGGGGACTCTGAGTTAGCAGCATTTGTCTTAAATTGTTGTTAGCTGCGGATTGTTGGTTTTTTTTTCTTTTGGTTTTATTGTTTCCCAGCAAGATATTGGCATCAGCCTAGGTTCCTTAATAAATAGACCTTTCCCCCTTGTTGTCCTTTTTAAATTCTTTATTGGGAGATGGAGCAGTGGTGGCCCACACCTTCCAATGCTCAGAGACTGCTCCTGGTGGTGCTCAGGATTCATTTCTTTCTTTTTAATTTTTAAAAAAAAATTTTTTTACTAGATCAGTGTATGTATTTTTTTTAATTTTTATTAGTGAAACACCATGAGATACAATTGTAGACTTATAAATTTTTGTGCTAGGGTTTCAGTTATACATTGATAGAGTACCCATCCCTCCACTGATCTCAGTATCCCTCCCACCCCCCATCTCCCCCATCCCAACCTGCCTCTGTGGCAGGGCATTTCCTTTTGTTCTCTCTCTCCTTTTGGGTGCTGTGGTTTGCAAAAGAATCATTGAGTAGCAGTCATGTCCAGTCCATAGTCTACTTTCAACATGCATCAACATCCTGGGAGGATCCTTCAAACACCCTTTATTTGGTGCTCCCTTCTCTATCTGAGCTGCCTTTGCCCCTAGCATGTGTGGCTGGTCTCCAAGCCATGGAGTAAACCTCCTTGTACGTAACTCAGCTATTCTTAGGTGTTAGTCTTTTAATTTTTTTTTTAATTTTAATGAATCACCATGAGATACAGTTACAGACTTTCATGATTGCATTTCAGTCAAACAATGTTCAAGTACCCATTCCGCCACCAGTGCCCATTCTCCACCCGCAATGTTCCCAGTATCCCTCCCTGCATCTCCACCCCTTCCCACCGCCTGCTTCTGTGGCAGGCACAATCAGGAGTCACTTCCGGTGGTTCCAGAGTCCATGCAGTGCTGGGGGTCCGACCTGGCCCTCCTGAGCGCTGAGCGTGTGCTCTAGCCCTTTGTGCTCTCTCCCTGTTGGTTCTTTTGCGTGAAACTAATTTGATACTTAACAACCGATGCCTTGAGCACAGACATTCCCCCATTTCTACATCAGCCCCTAGACAAGTATCATCTCGTCCTCCACCCCTACCTTAAGAAAACAGCTGCTGGGGGCGGAGTATAAGAATAGCAGGGTAGAGCGTTTGCCTTGTATACTCAGGTTTGATGCCCACGTTTAATCCCCAGCATCTCACGTGGTCCCCGAAGCACTGCCAGGAGTGATTCCTGAGTGCAGAGCCAGGAGTTAGCCTTGAGCACTGCTAGGTTTGACCCCAAAATTAAATAAGAAAGGAAGGGAAGGAAGGAGGGAAGGGGGGTAGAAAGAGAAAGAAGGGAGGGGGGATGTGTGGGGTGTGTGTGTGTGTGAGGTGAGAGAGAGAGAGAACAGCTGCTGTTTGGGATTTGAGTGGGTGTGGTGGGCAGAGGAGGGCATAAACCCTGGGAGCTGTTTGCTGTTAAGATTACATTGATAAAATAACTCCCCTGTCTACTAATGTCCATTCCTCTGTGTTGGGGGTAATTACACTCCCTGGCTGTCCTGGGAGATGGGGGTGGGGGGTGAGGGTCTTCCCACTGTAGAGAGAACATGCTCGCATGTTGTAGAGGGAATTTGTTTCCTAACCCATTCTGTCAATATCAATGCTAACAACAGTGTCTTGTGTTTTTTTTCTTCTTCTTTTCTCTTTTTCCTTTCCTTTGTTTTTTTTTTTATTTTAAATCCATGTGCCTTCTTTTCCGATGTGAATAATTACATGTCTAGAAACAGTCATGGAGTGATTTTGCCGTTCTGAATGGGGGAAAGATTAATAGTGACATTTGGAAGGCAAGTATATTGTCAGACTCCACATCCTGTGCTCGCTTGCCCACCTGTGCATGGCCGCGGCTGCCTCGGTGTCTCCTCTGTGAATACCACTGTGCGTTCTGCAGGGATAGAGCGACAGGGGCGTCTGGTGAGGGGTGTCCCAGCTCACCCCTGCGTGTGCCTCTGATGTCGCCTGTGGTCTTGGAGCTGCTGCCCGGTTCCCTGCTGGCTCCCCAGAGCCGCGCGCTGCAGCCCCTGCATGCCTCACACATGCCCACGCTCTGCCTGGTGCTGGGAGCACTTCACGCCCCTTTTGTCCTTGAAGGCTGTGCCTTGCACGCCCCCCCCTCCCTCTCCCCGCCCGGCTCTCCATTGATGGAACTGTCAACTTTCCCCTCCAGGACTTGCACGCCGCCACCGTGAACCCGGACCCCAGCTTAAAAGAATTTGAAGGAGCCACGCTTCGCTATGCATCTCTGAAACTAAGGTAGGACAAGGAGGGGGGCGTGCCGTCACCTTGAGCGTGGCGCAGCTGGAGCTGGTGGCAGGGACTCTGAACCCTGTCTCCTGTCTGTCTTCCTAGAAATGCCCCTCACGCGGATGACGAGGACTCTGCCAGCATCAACAGCGACCCGGAGGCCAAGGTGTGTTAGAAAGGTGCTTTCTGGGAAGGGGTCCTACTCAAGTGCCGAAACACGAGGCTTTGGATAATGACTCAGTGTTTCTAAACCAGAGCTGCTTATTCAGCAATTTCCCTTTGTTTGTCTCTTCTTCCTAATCTCCCCACCACATAAAATAAATCCTTCAGCCAAGGTAGGTTTGGGAGGATTTTCATGCCCATCAAGACCCCTCCTGCGTCTCACTTTCATCAGCTTTTTGCACAATGGGCTGAGTTCAAGTTCCTGTTCGGTGGGTGGGCATAGGTCCTTTTGTGTGTGGGGCGGGGGGTGGTGGTTTTGGTTTGGGGGCCATACCTGGTGGTGCTGGGGGGTTACTCTTTGCTCCGGTCACTGCTGGCAGTGCTCTGACCATGTTGGCTGTGTGGTGCCGAGGATCTGACCCAGGCCTTCCCATGCTCAGTCCCTTTGAGCTCTTTCTCCACGTCATACGTTTAATTCAGTTTTGGTTGGGGTTTTGGTGGTGTCAGAAATCAAGTTGAGGGTCATATACGTGTAAGGCAAGTACTTTGCCACCAAGCCAGAGCCCCAGCCCAAACATCGGAAACCTGTAAAGCTGAAATCCATTCAGCGGCACTGCAGAGCCCTGGCGGCTGGCTGCACAGAGATCAGAGCTCCCGGCCCTGACACCCTGATGCAAACCTCAGCAGGACAGAGACAGGCGCATGAACCAGCCCTTCTGGTGAGGTCAGAGCTGGGCCAGCCCATGGCTTTGGGGTAGTTGCGTAGGCAAGTGTTTCTCAGCTGAAGGGCCATATCCGCAGGATATTCCAAGAGGACACAGGTGAAAATCCTGTAAATGGGGAGCCCAGCATGAAACTAGATGCCGTCCAGCAAGACCCAGGGAGGACACAGTCATAGAACCAGAGAGAAAGTGCAAGAGTTAAGGCCTTATGAGCATCACTGGGTGTAGCCCAGATCCTCCACCCTAGTGGAAAAATATATATATAGAAAAAGGCCACTGTCAGAACAAGCTTGAGAAACACTGGCATCGGGCCCAGGGCTGAGAGTCAGAACCTTGGGCCAGGCTCGGGTATGTGTCTCCACTGTCTGGAAATGCTCCTTTTCCCTGACTCTGCGCTTCAGAAAGGGACGGTTCACGTGACAGTGTAATTCTCCTCACACCTCAAATGTTTCCACTGTTGGTGGTCACCTGGGATCAGTAGTCTTCAAGGTGAACTAGTGTCATTGTGTGGGGGTACCTTGGACCTGTGCCCATGTCAGGCACTAAACTTGATCCATTAAATGGTGTGTGTGTGTGTGTGTGTGTGTGTGTGTGTGTGTGTGTGTGTGCGCGCGCGCACGCCTCATCCACCTGCCGTTCTCCCATCTCTCTCCCTCTCCTCGCCACTGCTCCCTCTGCCAGTCCCTGAGATACCTCAGAGCTGGAATCAGGCCCCCGAGTCACCCTACAGTTGGCCTCTTATGTGTTCAAGTGAAAGTGAGAGTCACATGACTCTCATTTTAAACCTGACACTCACAGTAACCAAGCCTAGAGCGGGAGGCACAGTGGTGAAAGCCAAGGGAGGCTGAAAGGAGGCCTCACGCTCCCAACAGCCATCAGTTGTGAATGCCGCGGAAGAGGTTTTAAAGTATATTTCAAGGAATTCTCCCATGGGCATTTGTATATACAAAGGATGGAGTGAAAAACAGCCTGATAGTTGATATGGGGAAAATGTCAGTGGCCCGGATAAAAGATGGAGCCAGCCACATCCTTCTCCTCAACCACACAAGCCCACCCAGATGCTTCAGCTGGGCGCGGGCTCAGGAAGGTGAGGAAGCTGTGGAAGTTTGAAGGGAGCAGAATGACTTGTACGGCTTCAGAAGCCATCCCCACAGGGCCAGAACTATATAGCACAGGAGGAAGAGTGCTTGCCTTGCACGCAGCTGACCCATAGTTCAATTCCCAGCAGCCCAAAAGGTCCCCTAGGTCCTGCCCGGAGTGACTCCTAAGTGCAGAGCCAGGGGTAAGACACCCTCTCTGCCACACCAAGTACCAGGTGGTACAGGAAGTACTGCTGGAGAAGCCTCAGGCAGTTCTTTGGGTCTTCAACAGTGTTTTTCTACCTTTCTGCACTGGCAGAACAGTGGATGAAGACCCCTGTTCAGGGGAGTCTCAGAGCATGGATGAGCAGGTTTCTCTGTGCCCAGGGATATTCAGTGTATGGAATAGTCTTGTCTGGGAAGATACTGTTTAAGATTTAATAGCTTGAGAGGAAAAGTCAGTTCCTGCCTTCAAAGAACTGGCCAGTTGACTGGGTATAGGACTGGACTAATATCGGTGGTGATTTTAAGTTGGAGCAAATTCGCATTCCAGAAATCTAGACAAATCATGATAAATCTCCTCCACCGGGGCTATTTACTTGGCTAGCAGCTCACTAGGGATGGCTTGGTTTATTTAGTATTTAAATTCCACTGTTGAAACCTACTACTCAGAAAGTAAAAATAAAATAAAAACATTTCCTTCCAAATATTATTGGTCAATGCTCCTGGTCACCTAGGAGCTCGGAGATAGACAAGGAGGTTTGGGTGTCTTCATGATGTAGAAGTCTCCATTCTGGATACTTTTCATACTTTATGACGGTCCTCTTTGATAATCTTCTCTAAACAGTGTTTCTATTTTACTTTGTCCAGGAAATGCTTTAAAATTTTCTGCTGCGACTTTCAGGCTTCGTTTGTCAAAAAGACAACTCCTTGGCTCCTGCTGGGGTCAGGGAGCTTATCTGTTCCCATCATTTAACATCCTGTTCCCCATGACCCATGCTCTTATGTCTTAAAATCCAGACTTAGCCCCCAGACACCGTCCTTTGCTCTGGAGCCAGTGGCACATTGCAGCAGGCTGAATGCTTGATTCATGTGATCAGCGCTAAACTACAACTTGATAATTACCTTGTCGAAAACTGGATGTTTCAAAAAACGTGTCCTAGTGGGCTTCAAGCATTTCCCTCCCACCTTTGTGGCTGCTGACTGTGCTAAAAGGGCTGCTCTGCCCCCCTGTGGGCATGATGAAAATGGCACCTCGAAAGAACCGGGCCAGACTGGACCTCATGGGGCTAAAGCCATAGCACAGCGGGTAGGGCGTTTGCCTTGCATGCGGCTGACCTGGGTTCGATTCCCAGCATCCCATATGGTTCCCCAAGCACAGCCAGGAGTAATTCCTGACTACAGAACCAGGAGTAACCCCTGTACACCGCCGAGTATGACCCAAAAAGCAAAAAAAAAAAAAAAAGAAAAGAAAACAGACTGCACCTCATGTAGACCCTCTGAATTATATCACAGGAAAGGGATATTAGCGGTGAACAAATCGGTTTCCTTTGCTGGTGGCAAAAAGCGAGTCTCAGTAAACTCAGTAGTGCTCTAGCCTGGAGTCACACGATTATCTGCTGTAAGAGCCCAGTCAAAGATGGCTCTTAGCTACCTGCCCTCTCTCTTCCGGTTAATGGACAGCAAACCATTCTCCGGGCATTGTAAGATGTCTTAGAGCTGCCTTTTTAGACTGCTGTTCTTTGGAATCCGTGATCAAGGCTGTGGTTCCTGGCCATCAAGCCTGGGCTTTCAGCATCCTCCATCATCCCAGAACCCCCTTCCAGTTCCAAGAAATGAGACACTGGCTATCATGCAGGGTGGCTTGTCACTGACTCTGGGAGAGGGGATGCAAGGCGGGAGCCACCAGGGCCCGGGAGAGGAAGCTGGAGCCCCCTTCTGAACGCAGGTCTGTGCTCTGCCTCGGTCCAGAGGCTGGATGTGCTTCGTGCTGCCAATATGAGACAGCATGGTTCTGTCCCCGTCTCCCAGAGCGTCGCTGGTTAAGTCATTTGCTGTAGCCATGGGGACTGCTGCACTCAATTTGATGTCAGTGGGCCCCCCCCAGGAGGAGAAAGATGGTCACTTTCTCCCGATCCACCTCTGCCACCTGGGACCTAGGGTTACTGGGTTCTTATCTCACCTCACAGAAAGGAATTTCAGGAGTGGACAGGCAGTGAAATTACACAGTTTTTATTTGGAGGTTTTGAAGGAAAGGAGGGAGATAAAATGGAGAGTAATGTGCTCAAGAGAGAACCCCTGCTTCTCCAAAGGTGGAGAGAACCCCTATACACATCCCAGCATTAGACAGGAAAACTTGAAAGTCCCCATCTCAAGAGGGGAGATGCAGGCGACACATGTGCTCAGGCACCACGTGTGCTCAGCCATATGGGTGCAAGCAGCACACGGGCTCAGGCAGCATATGTGCGCCCTTCCTTTGTTCAAGGTGGCCTTTATAGGGTTCCTCCAACCTGCCCCACATGGGGCTTCTACCTAAGTCAGAGTGTTGCTAAGGCAGTTACTAGGGGGATTGGGAGTAGTGATGGTCTTCTTTGAAGTTCCTTTCCTGGTCTTTTTTTTTTCTGCAAGAGCTTCTCTGGGTCTGTTGCTGTAGATGGGTGAGGGTCTTATCAGGCCTTAGTTCCTGCTTTTTCCTATTTTCTTCTGAGGATCTTATCAGGCTCTCAGCAACGTCAGGACTATTTCTTCCCAGGAAATCTTTGCCATTGCCTTGGGAAGGGGCCTTCCCTATCCTGCCTACATCAGTTTGACTCCAGGTTTCAAGAAGCCACTTGGTGACACCCACTCTCTGCTTTGCCCTCTGATCACTCACCGTTGGGAGCATGCAGGCCAAGAAAACAGAGATGTTGGAGATGGACGTAGTAGGGAGCGGAAGGGTGTGGGGGTGCCATGCTTGAGAGCAGACACCCTCTCTCCTTTGGGGGTGGGAGAGGGGCACAGTTGGGGGTGCTCAGAGCTCAGTGTTTACTCTCGGGTCTGCTAAGGGAGTGCCCAGGGCACTATGTGGGGTCCCGGGGATCCAGCTAGGGTGGGCCTCCCTCAAGGCAGGTGTCTCAACCCCTGAACTCTCTCCCTGTCTCAAGACACCCCATCTTCTTCCCTGCCTCCATCCTCAGGAACCCCAGCCCTTGCTGCTGCCTTCT